TGAAGAATTGCCACTTTTAAGTCTGAGTGTCCTGGGAGATTGAAGTGTTCTCAGACTGTTTTTTGAATGTTATAATTCTAGACGTCTGATTTGTGTCCATTTATTCTTTTGCGTAGAGACTGTGTGGTTTGGCCAGTGTACACGGCAGAGGGGCATTGCTGGCACATGATGGTTTATGTGACATTATGGGCTGAAGTGTCACCACTTTGAACCTGGAAACTGCTCCCCTCCCCTGTGGCCGTGTTACATCCCAGCAGCAATCAGGGGCAAGGGGTTAACTGACTGGGCTCTAAGGCTGGCCAATCGGAGAGTGAGGTGACTCTCTCCTGAAGCTATTGACACAGCCCATGCAGAAGGGGAGGTTTAGCATCAAGCAGGCTGTGGAGAGGAGACCCTGGAGGACTCTGCAGCACAAATGGCATTTGTAGCTGCTGCTGGTGGTACCTTTTGTGGGGGGAGAGGCAGAGAAGTGATGGGCTTTCCCTGTGCTAGATTCAGGAAGGAGCAGTGACTGCCCAATACAAAGGGCTATTAGCTGAATTGCCCAAAATAATGTCTCTGAAAAACCAGTTCTGTCCTGTCTCCAGAGGACCCTGCTTAATACTGGCAAAGTTTATTTAGGGTACATGGAAAAGGGGTTCCCTGACCCAGGCAGAGCTCAGGGCTCTGTGGGGGGCTGTGGGGACCCAGGTAGAGCCTTCAGGGCCAAGGTGAAAGCAGTGATCCTTTGCAGAAGGGGAAATGGGACACCTGTTTCATAGTTCCTGTCCTGAGGATGGGAGGTGCCCCAGAATGACTGCAGGATGGAGTTACCGATGGTGCAGGGACAGAAGGAGCAGCTGTCTGCAGAACATCCGGCCACTAGGGAGGAGAGGGGTGGCTAGATCCTGATGGTCATGAGCTTGAGGGAGAGCTAGAGACACTGCGTGCAGAGACCTCGAAACCCTGGAGAAGATAAAATTCTGTAGACTGTGACTCTATATGGAGTCTAATTTTGGTTGGGGTGAGAGAAGTCCAGAGGGGGCTTCACAAGTAAGGGAAAAGGCAGGTTATATAAAAAGCAGTGCCCCCCAAAATTTTTACACTACAATGGAGTCGCATCTTATGCGGTGGTTAGGTTCTAAGGTCAGCGTGTAAGAGGAAAATCGCGTATAGTGAAAATTACTATAAAGTACAGTACACACAGTAGACACTGGAACAGAGGTCCTCAACCTATGGCATGCATGCCAAAGGTGGCACGCGAGTCCCCCCCCTTTTTTTAAATGGCATGCTGTGGGTCCTGGCCACCGCTGAGCCCGCGGCTGGCCTGGGGTTCTGTTCACTCAGCCTGCTCTCAAAAAGGATATTGTGGGGTTCAGAAAACAGCAGTGAGGGAGATCAAGTTCATTGAAAGTCTACTAGGAAGAGAAATGGAAAAGACTGGGATCGTTTACCTTAGAAAGGTGATTGAATAGGAGGGGACATGTAAAATAACTGGTCTAGAGAACGTAGATTGGAAACTTCTGTTCTCCCTGTCATGCAACATGAGAACAAGGGGAGATTCAACTAAATTAGAAGGTGGGAAATTCAAACTGATAAAAAGAAATACTATAACATAATGTGTGATTAAACTGTGGAACTCACTTCCACAAGAAATCAGTGTGGGCAAGGGCATAGAAAGATTCAAAAAGGATAGCATATTTATAGGAACATCAAGAATAGCCAGAGTTATCAGAATTTTATTAAAACATTTGGAAGTGCATAGCCTTATGCCTCGTGTGTAAGACAATCTAACTATTGGAGAACAGCATGTGTAAAACAATTAACAAAACCAGTTATAAAAACATACTCCTTTATAGAGGCTTCAGTCCTGCAAACACTTAATCAGGTGCTTAACTGTACACTAGTTGACTTCAGCAAGGGGGCCATCTGAACCCACAGAACAGCAATTCCCAGCAGATGTTTCCATTTCCTCTTTGACTGACAAGCAGCTGAACCAATTATAGGGAAGAGTTTTTGGCCTTTGTTCTGAGCATCTTCACTTCAAGGGTTCTATGAGTCTCTAGAGCAGGGGTGGGCAAACGTTTTGGCCCGAGGGCCACATCTGGGTGGGGAAACTGTATGTAGGGCTGGGGCCAGGGTTTGGAGTGCAGCAGGGACTCAAGGCAGGGGTTTGGGGTGCAGGGTGCAGGAGGGGTTTGGGATGTGGGCTCTGGCCCAGCACAGCTTACCTTGAGGAGCTCCAGTGTGGCAGCAGTGCACAGCGGGGCTAAGGCAGGATCCCTGCCTGCCCTGGCCCTGTGCCGCTCCCGGAAGCGGCCAGCATGTCCGGCAGTGGCTCCTGGGGGTGGGGTGGGGCAGGCAGCTCCTCCATGCGCTGCCCTCGCCTGTGGGTACCACCCCCAAAGCTCCCATTGGCTGTGATTCCCCATTCCCAGCTAATGGGAGCTGCAGTGGGCAGTGCCTTCAGCAAGGGCAGCGCATGGAGCCCTCTGCCCCCCGCCCTTCCCCCAGGGGCCGCAGCGACGTGGTGCCGACCGCTTCTGGGAGTGGTGCAGGGCCAGGGCAGGTAGGGAGCCTACCTTAGCCCCACTGGGCCATGGGGCTGGCAATCCTGCGGGCTGGAATGAAAGCCCTGATGGGCCAGATCTGGCCCATGGGCCATAGTTTGCCCTCCCCTGCTCTAAAGTGGTTGCTAGGTAGCACAATGGGGAATCTTTAGGTGACAGAAATGTTCGTCTCCTATTTTCCTATGGCTCAGATATCACTGAGACTGCCTAAGCCATCAGTAATAACTGGGTTCTGCTGCCTCAGAGAAGGGTGTCAGAATAATCTTTTTTTATTCTGAACACCTGTGAACTCCCTTTCCAATTATCCAGCATCCCCTCACTTCTGCACCTGCAAATAAACCTTGAACAGAATCTGGCAGGCTGGTTGGTCAACATTTTTGGTTTTTTTTGGGGGGGGGGGAGGGGAAATGCCTGTGTAACAGGTGTCTGAGAGCTCCATCTCCAGGTGTACACTATAACAGCTGATCCTCATGTTGTCAGATTGACAGCAGCTGTGGGAAAAAATCAGACTCAGTAAGTTAGAACCTAAAGAATACTCCTGCAGTACGTGCATTGCACTTGTCCAAGTGGTTGCACTAGCTCCGTGTGTGCCACAGCCAGAAATAAACAGGGCACGTTGGACAGATGCAGTGACAGGAAAAGATCATCGGTGCTGTGAAAGGGAGACCTGAGCGGTAAAGGCCTTCAGGAACATTTACAAGATGGAGACCTAAACTCTGTGCTTCTAGTTCTGAGATACCCGGATTTAATGTTAGCCACAAACGGGCACAGACAGGCCAAGGAAACAGTCCCAGCCGGGTCTGAAACAGCTTTTCAATTTCAATGCACTGGGACTGGGAAGTTGCCCAGAAGGAAAAGGCAGAAGGACCTCGCGTGTAACTCAAGCTCTGTGACTGATTCTGCACAGTGACTGCACTAAAGACATTTCACTCACCCCTCTTCTCTGAAATCATGCACTCTGCAACAATCATCACCGCCGAGATTATAACAAGGGCCCCGAGAACCATCCGGATGATGAAAACAATGTGGGAGGCATTGCTCCTTTTATCTGAAATCAAGAAAAACCTGTCAGTGTGGGATGCAGGGACAGATTTGCCTCTAAAGGAGGGACAGAGACTGATGGATAAATAAAGGGACAGCAGAGACAGTTTAAAGATGAAAAACTGTTCCTCTCCTTCCCCCCCTCCCCCCCCCCAATTTCCTACCCCCTTCTGTGTCACAGGCAGTTTCCTTGGCCTCCCTTTTTCCCAGCAGATTCCTGTGGGCTGGGCTGGCTGGTGAGTCTTGTCCACATACTCAGGGTTTAATTGATCGCCATATTTGGGGTCGGGAAGGAATTTTCCTCCAGGGCAGATTAGCAGAGGCCCTGGAGGTTTTTCGCCTTCCTCTGCAGGGTGGGGTACGGGTCACTTGCTGGAGGATTTTCTGCACCTAGAAGTCTTTAAACCACGAGTTGAGGACTTCAGGAGCTCAGACATAGGTCAGGGGGTTGTTACAGGAGTGGGTGGGTGAGATTCTGTGGCCTGTGTTGTGCAGGAGGTCAGACTAGAAGATGATAATGGTCCCTTCTGACCTTAGTCTATGAATCTGAGTCTTCATATGCCAGCTGCTGGGACCTGTGGGGTCGTTGGGCTGGGTTCAGCCCTATGCCTAGGGGAACCTTCCCATGAGGCCAGCCAGCACGCTGACTCTGCCACAGGAGTAGGAAATCCCCAGCATACTGAGACCTGGCCAGAGCCCTTACTGACAGCAACGCTCCCCTAACTGACCCCATCTACAGTTTCCACCCTAGACTCACAAAAACTCTCCCGATTCCCCTGATCCCAAGGGGAAATGGCTTCATTAACCCTGCGCCTGCCAATCCAAAGGATAAACGGGATTCCATACCTAGGCTAGGGGATGGATCTGTAACTGGACAGGGACTGGCTCAGTAGGGGAGGAGAGAAACCAGAAACCCTACAAGGTTTATATCTCTTAACATAACAAGGGGATTCGGAATGTACAAATTATCTAAAGCTCCTGTGCTGAGGTTCAAGATTTCCCTCATTTAAAAAAAAGACAGTATTCTACAGTTATGGTCCAAAACACTGCAGCTTACAGTAGTGGTACTGCTGTGAGTGGGTTTTTAGGGCTGTCCTCTAGACATGTCTTGTTTTTGTCCAAGACTGAAAGCAGAATCAGCAATATACCGAGAGGCATTTCCATCCCGCTCAAAATGGGGAAATCCTGGAAATCTTCTTACGCGAGAGCCTGTCATGGTGAAACTGACTGTTTAATACAGGCGAGAAGAGCTTCTGAACCTGGAGGTGCTTCTCTGAACCCTTTGTGATTCACCCATCACCTAGTGGCTCCAAGAATTCTGGTGGGCAGGGGGTTGTAAGTAGTTGGATCACACACACACACACACACACACACACAACTAAAAGATGGGCAGGATCTGGAAAGCCACCGGGAATCACTGACTTCTCACTGCAAATCTCTCCATAGCTTTGCCTTTTCCTTCTGTTTGCCAGCAACTCCTGTCCCATCAATATCACCCCATGCAAAGGACTGGCATTAGCTCTTCCTTTCCTAGTCCTTATTCTTCCCTAGGAAATACAGTGAAGATCTGAGAGGGAAATGCTGCTATTTACCATGGATGGTCACTCTGGTTCCATTTCCACCGCCATTTTTACCAAAGTCACATCTATAAATGGCTGACTGGGGATATATTAAAATAAATGTCTCCCCTTCCAGTATTTTGTGTCCTTTTCCCAGCCTGGCCATTTAACATTCCCTGCTTAGCAGAGGTTACCGTGATGCTTTCACTTAGGGTACGTCTATACTTACTTCCTGGTCCGGATGTAAGCGATCGATCTTCTGGGATCGATCCTGGAAGTGCTCGCCATCGACGCCGGTACTCCTGCTCAGCGAGAGGAGTATGCGGCATCGAGGGGGGAGCCTGCCTGTCACGTCTGGACCCGCGGTAAGTTCGGACTAAGGTACTTCGAATTCAGCTACGTTATTAACGTAGCTGAATGTGCGTACCTTAGTCAGAAGTGGGGGGTTAGTGTGGACCAGGCCTTAGTTCCATTCATAGCTTTATGATGCCTGGCAAGACCAGCAAACCATCCTCCCACCCCCGCCACCCTGAGTGTTCACTCTGGAGAAGTTGCCTCCTGCAATATGGATCCTTATGTGAACCGGATCTGACATAAGAAGCAGCCCCAGGTTTCACCCATCCACAAATCGGACATGAGTTCATGTCTAACTACCCTGTTATCTCTCACAAATTCCAGGCACGCAGGCAGACTTTGAATGTACCAATGGGTGTGCATGCACCATGGGCAAACATACATTTAGAGATTAATTTGAGGCCATGTGAAACATTTGGCTGTAAAGGATCTAAAATGGAAACACTGTTCCCCCTTAATACCGTCCTGCAGGGCTCTATCTTGCAAGGAGTTTAGTGCTTCTGGGCAGGTGTGAAGCACCCTCAGCTCCCATTGAAGGTGGAACTAAAGACACTCAACACCTTCCAGGAGATGTGTGCTCTTGTTCTCACTCACTCGTCTCCATTTCCCCAAGAAGATCAGGTAGGAAAATCTGGCACTTGGGTTCCTGTTCTAGTCCCTCAGAGGTTCCTTGCTGTCTTCCCCACCTCACACACATAGGTTCCTGTATCAGATGAATTCGCATTCTTCAAAGTGAGAGAGGCAAACCCATTGTCCAAATGCAGGGTTGTGATCACATCACTGTCATTCACCAGCTCTTTCTTTACTCCCTCAGTCCCATAGTTGTACCATCGCACATACATTGTGCTGTGGTTATTGACTGTCTTGAATGTACACTTCAGGGTAAGTTCTGAGCCTTTGAAATCACTGACACTGGTTGGGGTTTGATTCACCATCAGGTCGGTAATTTCTGCAGAAAGGAAAACGCAGATGATGGCACCTTCATTGAGAAATAGTTCAATGTGCCAGCAGACAAGGGCAGATGTACAAAATGAATCTCTCCAGTCCTGCTGTTTAGTTTCTCCTGCTTGTTAAGAGTTTAAACGGATATTCTTTCGTTAGGCCCCATATAGAGCTGTATCGTGCATGTCAAGACTTTTCTGCTCTGTTTAGTGAGCAGGTAACCCCAGAAGCTTCAGTCTAGACAAACCCCCTCCAACAATGTGACGTCTTACCCGGACCTTGTGTATCCCTGACACGCCTTCCAAATTCCTTACATTCAAACCCTTCTTGAGACCTATTTCCCTCCACCAGCCCAATGCAGGGCAAGAGAGAGGGTGGCCAATTCTCCTTCGTTACAGAAAAATGGGATTCCCTGAAGGACGTGGAATGGGCAGTTCTGAGAAGTGATGCACTTCTGCTGGCAAGGGCAGGGGAGTGAGGATCAGGGTGCAACCGTTATTCTGGGCAGGGCTGTGGTTACAGCATAGCGAGAGAGTGTCAGCAAGTCTTTAGCACTGGTTTTACTGATGGAAACTTCAGCAGCTCTAGGGCCAGGCGGCAGCTGAGCAGGGGTTTTGAGGATCTCCATGGCCCCCAGATGTTGGATTTAAGGGCCTAAAGCCCTGTGTGCATTTTGTTCTTTAGTCTCTCTGTGTCTCACTTCCCAATCTACTGTTAAGACGTCTGCCCGATCTCCCCCTTTTGTCTGTCTTGTCTGTTTAGAGTGTACATTCTTTGGCTCAGGGGCTCTCTGAGTATGTCCATGTACAGTAGAGCTGATTGCAAATGTTCTGGCAAAACTTAGCTTAGACTGAAAATGCTAATGCGCTGACAAGAACTGATTCACCAAATCTACTACAGATTTGACTCCTTTCATCAAAACACACACCGGTTTCTGTTGGTGTTTCAAGAGCCACAGGGTTCAAAAAAGAAGTAGATAAGTTATGGAGGATGGTTCCATCAATGGCTATTAGTCAGGATGGGGATGCCAGAAGATGGGAATGAGCGACAGGGGATGGATCACTGGATGAT